CTCAATTTTATTTGTGCGGAGTGCGTCTTTTCTCATTGAGTCCCGACACTTGTGTTCGTCATTGTACTTTATCCGTCTTTACTGGTGGATCTAGTCAATATCCAAGATCAAATTTCTTTGTAGCTTGTGGTTATTTGTGACTATTTATCAATTATTAATGAATTTTCTGTTAAAAAAATATGTATAAGGGTAGTTATGGAACTATATAGGATTTTAATTTTAAAGAGAAAATAATTTTAATTTTTAAATGAGAAAATTGTAGAACTTACCATTAACAGTGCGTATGTTTAAAATTTTACTTTCATTCTTGATTAATATCCTTATATTATTATAGTTATTTGACTAAAAAAGTTTTAAATTAAGAGTAAAAAATATAAATCTTAATTCATACAATTTTAAAAGGTATTTATTTCCTTTACTTTTTTTAAATATGTTGGGAGTGCCTGGTGTGAATTTTTCTTTGAGTTAATTACATATATGTCTATTATGCAGGAGTTGAAAAAATGAAGGACCACAAGTTATAATATTTGTATATAAGTCTATAAAATAACTTATAATGACATTTCTATCTTTTGGTAAACTACCCTAACTATCAACACAAAAAAAAATGTATTTAAAATAATATTATCTCAACAACTATAAAATAGACAGATTCATATAATATTCTTAAATTAAAGACAAGAGTATAAAAGTGATCACTTTGTATGAAGTACTTCTTGCACTTTTCACTGCTCCTACTGGGTCGCTAGGCCCGCTTTCCCTTATACGCTGCTTACCACGTACGCTATCAGCACAAACTTGCTGTTGCCCAGTGCCCTATCTTACAAAATTTCGCGCTCTCTCCCGCTAATATAAAAATTGCAAACCTCAGCCGACCAATCTTCTTGCAGAGAAAGCAATTTGTTCGACAATGGCGAAGAGCGATTCGTCCACCGACGCTGCTCGCCCATGGCAGTCTTACCACACCGTTTACACCAACGCCAAGGCCGGTATGCTATTCATCCTAATTCCAAAATCGAACTCACCGAGAGTGATAATTGGGGAGCTTAAGATCTAGGGTTTATGTTTTGAAGTAAAATTCTTCCCAAATCTAGGGTTTTCAGAACTTCCGTTTCCGTGATCGATCTCATTGTCTGGCTTTGAAATGGCTTTTAAGGTATGGACGGAGTGGACAAGGAGAAAGTGCAGCGAGTAGTGTACAAAATGAGCAAAGGATCGAAGTACTTCGAGAACGAGGAGCGCAAAGAGGCCTTCATAAGGCAGAAGATTGAGAATATGCGTGCTCAGTGCGCGAAGCTCACTGCACCAGATTTATCTCACTACCAGATGGTAATCAGTAATCACCTCACCAGTTTGAAATTTATGTTATAATTTTATCAATTTGTTATAGAGCTGTTTTGGTTTTGGCGATCATTGACTCAGAAAGCATCAGATTTGTAGAACATGCATTTATGGAACGGAGATTCTGTAATCGCATTAGTGGATTTCGGAAGTAGTTGATTGCCATGAGTGGAAAAAAGATAATTTGGGGAGTCACTAAATGTGCTATTATTATTTTAATCTTATTCTAGGTTGCAGAAAAAAGAATTCTAGAGCTAGAAGCTACGCGAGACCTGTCAAGAGTTTGGGTACATGTAGATATGGATGCTTTTTACGCAGCTGTTGAAACGTTAAGCAATCCTTTGTTAGAGGGAAAGCCCATGGCCGTTGGCAGTGTGTCTATGATCTCCACCGCTAATTATGAGGTTTGGATTGCCTAAAATGATCTTTCAGAAGATTATTTTGAACTTCTTCATGTTATATATATATATATATAT